GGGGGGCAAGGAGAGGCGCGACGGAACAAGACGCAGGCGGAAGACGAAGGAAGAGACGAGGGCCGGAGGGAGAAGGAGGAGGAGCAGGAGAGACCAAGGAGCACGAAAACGAGAAGGTAGGTGCCGGCGATACCGTGCCTTTCTTCCCCTTGCCACCTTATTCGCTATGGCCGGACGGTCGGCTGGCTGACCAGCCGACGGGGGGTAGTGGAGGGGTCCACAGTGCGTGCGCGATCTCGTCGGGGTCCTCGTGCGGCCGCGGCGGCGGCGGCGGCGGCGGCGGCGGCGGCGGCGGCGGAGGTGGAGGCGGCGGTGGCTGCAACGGAGGGGGCCGCGAGGGGGGCCAAGCCGTGGGCATCGAGAGGGGACCTGGCGACAGACTGGCGGGCGCGCACCTGCACTCGCTCGCCGAGAGAGCCGACAGTCAGGGGCGCACCTACCGAGCGCAGACTCCGCTCTTTCGACGACGAAGATACAAATCACGCCCCACGCCGCGCCGAGAGAGCCGGTGCATTCTTCGTGTTCGCTGGCTTATCTCTAGCGATGGGCTCGAGGCACGTCGAGTCGCGCTCCGAGTGCGCGACCAAGGCCTCGGATCGTTTCGAGCATTGGGCTCTCGCGACACGCGAGAAATTCCTGCGACTCTCGTAGTTCCCCGAGAGATGATGATCGGGGGACACGATCATTGTTGTTGCGGCGCGGTTTGCGCGAGCTGGCCCGCACGTTCTTCCGTATCTGGCCGTGATTTGCCAGACGTCTGCTATCAGTGCGTGAGCACTCTCGGATCTTGCGGGATTATCGGGGCACTTGAAACCGCCGAGATTGTCCGAGGTTTTTAAGAATTTTCGGTCTCGAGCGATATTCCAGCGAAGAGATTCGAATCTTTGCATGATTGTGTCTCACTCGAGTATCTCCAGGCGAAGATACGAAAGTTCATCGCCACTTATCGTCGTACCGGCACGTTCCACTTTCGAGAGATCTTGTTTTCCTCGCGCTTTCTTTTTATTTCGCGCATCTTCTGTTCCCTTCTTATTGTTTTCATCGCGCTCTGATGCAAAAGTTTAGCCGGGTTTCTCGCATTTCTCGTGATCTCTCTCGAAGTGGAATTTTCATGTCTTAGGTATCTCTTCGACGAAGGACGCGAGATGATGCTGCTGTTGCGTCCGTCGAGAACGAATCGCCGCGAACATACCGAAGCGGCGTCAGCTACGCAGAACTAATTAATTTTACGAAGAGGATCGGGAGGGCTCTAATAAGAGGCCTCTCTGAGAGGCCTGTCCAGGGACAGTGCGGCGGCTTTCATACCGTCGTTAATTCTGCATTGAGAGGCACTGCCGTTTTGAAACGCATTCGCGTTCGTACGCGTAGAAAGTTCACGCCGATGCTCGTCACTACGCGAGCGAGGCTTGAGCACTTTGCAATTAGTCGTAATGTTTATTAATTACCCGACACACACGGTAGATCCGTGTAATTAGACGGCTGGCTCTCTTAGTCGGCTGGTTTTCTTTTCTCTCTTTTTTCTTTTCACTACGCGCAATCCTGTGGAAGCAACTCCGCGTCTTGCAAAATGCACGTTGGTATAGATAGTCCCAGATATACGCCGTTGAGATGAATGGTGTACGAGGAAGACTTTTGCGCGGCGACTTAATTACATTTCGAGTATTAAGCTATTACGAGAGAGTTCTTTCCCCCCGGCTGTTCAAGAGCCGCACGTCTCGACGTCAAAAATATATGCAGCTCGTGCATACTTAATTTTCTCGCGCGTTTATAAAAGCGAAACGACAAATAGCGTGTCCGTATTATTCGTTGACTTTCGCTGTCGTCGGCCTTTTACAAGATCGTTAAACGTCCGCCGCGTGGTAAATTTCGTAGCCGCGTCTAAATACCGAACTTAAGGTAGCACTTTCAATAATCGACGGGGTTATCTACTAGAAAACAGACAAGCGCGACTCGCGATAACAAAACACATACACAGAAATACATATTGTGTTCAAGTGAATGTTACTTGTTTCAAGTATTTCATAAGTTTATATACCCGCAAATCTCTCATGAGTTCATTGTAAACGTCAAATTTATTCAAAATATATACTAAATCCTGTTAAGTTTAGTATTTAAATAAAAAATACGAAGCTAAAACCAAAATTCAGTTTGCTTACTCCAGAGAGTCGCGACAACTTTTCAATAAAGTTTTGTAATATTCTTGTCGAGAGAATAAATCCTTCTTTTAAGTACATGATAATGAGCTTTTCTTAGATTTATGATGAGTGTATCTCAAGACTATTATGAGAAAAAATATTCCTTGTTACAACCATAACTCAAAGGAAGAAAAGTAAATTGAACAATAGTTTTTCTTGACAGTAAAATGATATTTTTCTGTGTACACGGACGTGAAGGATGGACTCGAAGCTGGGAAAATAAGTCCGCCCGAAAATACGAGACACGGATCAAATAAATGAGCGTTAAACGCGGCGCTATCGAGGTTACAGTGATTAAACGCGCGATTTAAGCGAACGTTGCGCAGGTAGACTGACGCGATAATGCTTATCACGCGTGTACGCCGTTCCACTGTTGGGCTTGCATATCAATGGGATTAAGAATAGACACACATACACATTCGCGCGACGACTCAAGCGCGCGCAATTATCCGTGTGAAAAATCGGCGCGATCGCGAACCGCCTTCCGCTACACTTCTTTAACGGTATTCCGTCACGTGTGTCTGTCTATTCGATCGGACTGTTCGTTGAAATTCGGATCACTGAAGTTTCGGCGTTACACGAAAGTAACAAGCGTGCTCTGCACAGTTTCGACCATCTCCTCGCGTCTGAACGAGAGAAAGAGAGAGACTAGTCTAAGTTCCGAAATATACAAAGAGAAAAAATATCTGAAAAACAAGAAATGTTTATTCGGCAAGTACTGAGATAACATATAACCTGCGCTAATCCCAGTAAAAACCAACTATCAGTGACATAATATTAATGCAATTTCTCATTCCACAACATAAATGTAATATAACATTGTCATGTAACAGTTACATATTGCCGAGTAGAAAATTACAATATCCATGCAATGTTACCGTTAGTCGATGTTTATTGGGAATATGCATATTTTTACATTGAGAGAAAAGTTTCCTTCAAGTGAGAAGATATATATTTCCCTAAGATCATAATTTTTTTAATTGAAAACAATTGTTTTAAGTAAATACGTTTGAGATTTGAGTAAATATGTTGTTAGTGTAAATGTCACCGAGTAAATGTTTCTTATTTTCCAGGTTTTTTTTCTCAGAGTGTAAATCTAACGAAGAAAGCGATTTGGAAACAGAGGGAGATTCGCCTATGAAACATTTTATTAACATCAAAATGCAACACGAACACCGATTCGCCACTCCGACAAGAAGCTCGCTACGTCGTAACGAATATTTTTTTCCTAAGCGCCGTGAATCGGGAGGTAATCGGAGAAGGCTCTCGGACTCTCCGTGGATGGAGTAATAAAACGGCCACCTTCGGCGCGGAGAAGGACGCTCATGAATATGGATCGGGAAAGTAATCGCGAAATGAGCGATATAGGACGAGCCGTAATAGGCCGCGCAATTATGATGTAAGCCTCGGTGATGGCTGATCCCGGTGGCGCATAATGATCCCGCGGCCCCGGCCGAATACCTTCACTTTCCACTTCTGTCCCTATTGTCTGCGAGTGCGGCCAAGTCGCCCGTTCCTCTCGTGCGAGTTCGCGGTCCGCGTGCACGTTTGACCTTTTCGCACGGCGGAGATATTTATAAGAATCGCCGCGCCACGACGACCGTGATTTTAACGCGAGGTCGTTATGCAAATCGGCTAGAGCCCTTCCACTTTATCGCGTTCGTTAAACAGCGAATTTACACGCTCGCTCGCGGTAGCGCCACAGCCGCCGATTCGCCATGCTTACGACTTTATCCTTCCCGTGGTCGACGAATCGGGTCTCGTGGACGATGAAGCGGTAGTTCACCGATAATGAAGCGCCACGACGACGACCCGTGAATCGCGCGCGCTGTCCGAAATAATTACCGTCACGGCTCGCCACTTGAGCGCTCTACCGTCTTCGCGATCTCCTTCACGGGCATTTTAACTGCGCGGAGCGCAGCTCGAGAGAGCTCGTAGATCTCGCGCGCCGAGTTAAAGTTTAATTTCGAGATCCAGTTATATTCGCAGCCGCGTAATACGATCGGGAGTTAACGCGGTGAATACTTGACTCTCGACAGGGATATATCTCGAGCGCGCCGGGGAAGTGGAATCCTTTTTCTCGCGCGGCGGTACGCGTGAAAATTATACCGTGGGACGTAAAAAGCGGCGGGGATTAATCGTCCGTGACGTGAGCGGCGAGCTGGTCTGGACTTACAAGGCGAAACGGAAAAACGTAGGCGATGATATGCGGTTTCATTCGCGAGAGCGGGCTTTAATTTATTACACCGCGGTCGGAATTGTCGCGTGCTTAACAGATAACGGGCGCTCGCTCTCTCTCTCT